TCTAGGTCGTTTGCTGTTGCCTGCGACTTCGACGTTAACAGTTTTGTAGTTTGTTCAAAACCTAACATGGCGCACTACATTGTTTTGTTTATCCCAAATGACGGCTCGCACGATAGTGGTATGTCTTACCCCATACCGGTCTCGGCCACTTGAATGTTACAGACCGAGGTTTACTGACAAGGGTCGTATATCCGACAATGACAATAACAGAGAAACAATAGACCTAAAACTTTACAAATAAAATAGTATACGTACCATATCCAAATGGTGAATAATGACGATGTTATTGTTGTGTCTTTTACAGATTTCTGTATTCGTTAAACGTCCCTCACACTGTGTGTGATTACCACGTGTCATTGCTGCCCCCACAGTTCTGGTATCTCTTGAAGACGGTCACTCGGGGGAATACTGCCAAACCCGAGAGCGCCCTCCCATTACATTCAACGAAGGGCACACGTGAGTACGGAATTCTTTTTTAAATTGCCAGGCCAACGAATATATATTTCAAATAAGCTGCCAACGAAATGTGAATCAAAGTTCTACATTATACTTTAAATAAGCTTTGAGTTTCCACCGTGACGGAGTGTGTCTTTTTACCTTGAGCAGTATATTTAACTTCAATGTCATTTTCTTATTTTTAGATATTTTATATATATATCGTGTTAGTGAAATAAATATGGGATCACCGTACTCAGTTCGGAGAAAAGTGATCAATAAAATACAGTATAAAAAATAGCATGTTTTGTCAGTTGGATATTATACCGCTGTTTCTTATGGCAAAGATATATCTCGCGACATATGGTAAAGTGTTGTTACTTTTTGGTGTTTGGAAGTAATACAAATTTGACAATATTTTTATTTTTTATATTTTATTGTAGTCTATGGAAACCACTGCTCAAATTGCAATTTTATGAATACTATTTTGCTGTTTTTGTTTTTACAGATTGACAGTGAACCAAAAAGATTCACATACTGTCGACTAACGATATGCACACATAAAACAAAATATATTTATAGAAACACACATTAAACTATGGTATTCTTGTTTCAGTTCGACCAGGAACAAAGCAGACAATACGTTCAGGATGTCGTCATACCGACGCCGATACAACAGCATATGTGTCTCCCAAACCACCAGCATTATCATCAAGTTCACGTCCATCATTTCGAGTGGGCACTCCTTTTCAGTATGTGGAATCCGTGTCTTCAGTTGACCGGAGAACGGCGTATGACAAAGCTCTACAACAAGCCCGACGAGCCAAATCAGCGCCACTCATGCGACCAATGATCGCTGCTTTAGGTTAGTAACTGAACATTACAAGGAAAATCGGATTATTGGAAAACTAATTGCCAGACGTGATCAAGTTGAATACAGTGCGCTGTGTGTGTGATACGTTATACAAACAACAAAGCATGGCGGACTGTTGTAATAATAATATCAATTGTTGTCCAGTATCAACCGATCTCGACATCAATTTTCCCACATTGGTAAATCCGTTTCATCCACCATTAAAATGCATTGAAATATTTTAGCAAAACATGTGTTGGAGTAAATATTCAAAACATCTTCAAATAAACGTATTTACACAGATACAATTATAACAGTATTTTCTTATCTTCCAACAGGTCCCCGTGACATTAAAAAAGAGAGGGTGTTATCTGCAGCCAGTTCCAGGCAGCGCCCAGTATCAGCTGCAACGACCTCTTATTCGAGAACACAGATGTCGTATGAGACAATCAATGTAACGCCTAAACTGTATAAAGACTCTCATCACCTTTCTTCCATAAGGGTAAGAACAACGTACATTATTGGACCCAGGTTGTATGTGGCAGTTGTCACTGCAATATAGTTAGAAAGTAATAATATATAGTGATCGATTAACAATTATATACGGGCAAGTGTTAAGAACTGAACAACTGACATCATCGGAGATATTGTCGACACATAAATAATAAAATTCCCAAATATATGACAGGAGCAGCGTGCAGCAACCAAAATATTCCTTGCATAATTGACCTGCAATGGAGAACTTATACATTGACGTTCATTGACATCATATTGATGGCAAAAACATATACTAAAATTACATCTCTTAAATTATTATGTCTTTAATAATGTATTGATTTCATTACTACAGGTGATGGAAAAGGTGAATGTTAAATACGCTCCAAGAATGTACATAAAGTAAGTCCCTTAATGTTTCTCATTATACTAGTATACACACAATTGACCAATTACTCTACTGAAGACTGTACCTGTAAACCTTCGTAGAATATACTAAACGCAGGGATATGATAATTAGAATATAATTGAATTTTGCGGCGACAGACTTTTACTCTTTAACCCCGGGTACTAAATTTTCTTCATATAATAAACACAAACTAAAATTTACTAAGCGCATGCATCTTTTCTAAATGGTGACCATATTTCACTAGGCATTCAGCCTAGTGACATTCTTATCATGTTGGGCATAATAATGTGTTATGTTGTTAGAAATACAAATTATACATTCGTACCATTGCACTATGTTCGTAATGTTTATTTCATATTATTTTTTCATTATTATTTCATATATGTGTTTGTTGTTACTTTTTTTCTCCAGAGCCTGGTCAGGAGACAAGATACCGCCCGCAGATATCGACAAGAGACCGAATAACTTCATGACTCCACATGGTTTTATTTGCGTTGGTCCATATCAATGATGCCGTGTCTAGCTAGAGCATATTGCTTGATGTGTCACCGTGCACCAACAAAACACAGAAGCATTTAGAACATATTACTGAGGCATACAGATCTCGAAAAGATGACAATATTAATCTCCATTGGGGTCTTATCTGGATAATAGTCAGTGGTCACATAGAAAAGATAACATCATTAATTGTAATATTTTCACAAATTGGGATCCAATCCACACATTTTAGTTACCATTCACCAATGTTATTAAAGGTATACACAATAAAGTGTTGATATTGCAGAACAACTAACGTTTGTTGGTATTATTCTATTAAACAGATCAAACAAAATGTGTATACCTAGTGGTATTTTTATGCTTATAGTACATTTCATATCATCAACATCCAACATCCTGTGCAGCCAATAGTTAAACGTACATCGTCAAATACATTTATGTGAATTTAGATATTATTATTAATTATAAACAACATCAAATCACTGTATGTGACGAACAATGTTACGTTATATTATAACTGTTTAATGGAAGCATTTTTTATGGGAATAGTGGGTGGCTGGATAAGCTAACAAAAAGGGTCACAAACGCGACAAAAAATACTCAAGGTTTATTTTGTCCTCGATAAATAAGCCCAGATGTAAATGGGAGACAAATCGTTCATTTATTTGACTGTAATAAGTTTAACAAGCCAACATCTGTTCAAGTCCTAAGTTAAGAAATACCCGATACTAAGTGTGATAATTACTGCCTAGATATGCGTGAACCAAAACTGTGGGTGTTACTGTTATATTACTAATCTGCATATTAAAAAAATTAGATTATGAATCTACATAGAGACAAAAAGACTGTGTTAACCAGTTCGTTTGACACCATTATATGACTGTATATGATTATATAGAATTAGGAAATTTCGACACAATCTTAACCAATCCCAAGCCAGGGTTCATTGATTCGAACTTCGCCTTTCTATTATACGCCATAGATGTGTAACTTTAGCATGACATATTACGGGTAGGTTCTGTCAGAACCACCTGCTCCTTGTTTCTTTTGTTTGAATAATCAATACTCATTTGCATATTATCTGTAATGTAACATTTCTTGTGTAGATAAACAACGGAATGAGAAATGTAACGTAAAAATACCCGGATGTACATGGCATATAGCACGCTACACGCATTTATTAATTACAGGCCACTCATTACATTTTATCCCCAATCATCTGCTTAGCTCAATAGAGCAACCACCCTACTTGAGTTATTACGAAGATACTAACAAGATTGTGCCTGATTGGCCACACATTCCTAACACCTAACAGATCAATCAGAGAATAGCTCGCTTGTTGTTTGGTTGTTTTGACATTCTGCTTTGTACATGTATATATACATTCTCTTGAGGATGAAGTTGAACTTTCACCATGGGAGACGTCTGGGTGAATTGTATGAGGAGCTCAAGAACTACTTCCAGGTGGTTCTGGAACTACTTTCATGTGTCTTAGCCTCACTTTACATATTATTCTTAGATAGTGGCCATACAATTCAATAGTGTTCAAATGTGGTGAGTACTTTGTTACTGTGGCAAAGGGTTACGCTCTTAGAGTGTCTTTTAGTTACTGCACCTGTATACTGTTTGTAAAATAAGTGTATGGTATACACTCAACACAATTACCATTCATGTTTATTCTGCATAAAATAGGCCACAATATATTCAGTAAGTGTATAATAGAATAATAATAATATTTAATTTGAATAAACACGTATACTGTTATGATTTCATAGCATTTTAATAATTTGAAAAACTGTATAGAATTGGCAACTAATTATAACCTTCAACAATATTTCACACACTGTGTGAATACATAAGAAATGTACTGTTCATCCGACATTGATAAATGAACCATACAGATCACCTCTTTCATGAATTCCATTCAAGTTTTGTAAAGTTGGCTCTGATTGGCTTACTGGTTGGGCTCACTCCGAATGAGCTAAGCAAAATATCACCAGTGATAGCATGTATGTACAAAAGGAGTTCTGGCAGGTGAAACAAGTGACATCACACAAATATGCAATTAGAACATCATTTTTTTTTTTATTAAAGCATAATTTGCAGCAATTTTGGTTATACAGCTCTTGTTCAATTTTGACTACTATGAATGTTTGCATTTTAGATGATGCTTTTTCTGTGCGTCTTTTGGACTGCAGTGAATTTTTACTGCAACACGCAAAATTTGCGAAATTAACATGGTTATCTACAGCCATGGCATGCTAGTCATGACCAAAAAGTATTTTTGTATGAAATATCATCCACTACAGATGGTTTTAACATCAATTTTTCATTTAAGAAAAATATATTGCTAAGAAAATCTTGTTCAATGCCGGAAAATCTAATAACTTATAATGC